ATTCATAGAGTGTTAGTTTGGAAATTATTTTCTTTTAGCACTGTAAAGGTATTATTATGTGTGTTCTGGCTTTCATCGTTGAAGTCATTTGATGCTTATTTTCAAGGCCCTTTGTTTCTTTTCCTGGCTGATCTTACAATCTTCCCCTTTTCTTTAATGTTAAGATGATGTTCTCAGATGTGGATTATTTAATGAGATGTATGCAGATTTCTTTTTATTTACGTGCTTTTGGTTTTTGGAGGAAGTTGGCAACCTTTTTTTTTTTTTTTTTGGCAGGTATTGCTTCTGTACTATTCTTTCTTTCTGGGACTCCAGTGGGCATATTGGTTAGAATGACGTTTTTATTCTCTGTATTTCTTTCCTTTTTTTGTATTTTTCTTATTTAATTTTATTTAAATTCAAGTTAGTTAACATGTAGTGTTGGTTTCAGGAGTAGAATTTAGTGAATCATCACTTACATGTAACACCTAGTGCTCATCCCAACAAGTGCTGTCCTTAATTCCCATCACCCACTTAGTCCATCCCCTGCCACCTCCCTTCCAGCAACCCTCAGTTCTCTGTATTTAAGGGTCTCTTGTGGGTTGCCTGCCTCTCTGTTTGTATCTTATTTTTCCTTCTCCTATGTTCATCTGTTTTGTTTCTTAAATTCCACATATGCATGACATCATGAATACTTGTCTTTCTCTGATGACTTATTTCATTTGCATAATATACTCTAATTCCGTCCGTGTTATAGCAAATGACATTTCATTCTTTTTGATAGATGAGTAATACTGTATCACACACATATGTATGTATGTACACACACATACACATATGTTGATGGACATTTGGACTCATTCTATAATTTGGCTATTGTTGATAGCATTGCTGTAAACATTGGGGTGCATATTTCCCTTTGAATCAGCATTTTTATATCCTTTGAATAAATACCTAGTGCAATTCCTGGGTCAGGGTAATTTTATTTGTAACTTTTTGAGGAACCTCTACATTGTTTCCCAGAGTGACTGCACTGGTTTGCATTCCCACCAACAGTGTAAGAGGGTTCCCTTTTCTTTACATCTTCACCAATACTGGTTGTTTCCTAAGTTATTAATTTTAGTCATTCTGACAGGTGTGAGATGGTGTCTGTGGTTTTGATTTGTTTTATATTTCCGTGATGATGATGATTGATGTTGAGTGTCTTTCCATGTGTCTGTTAGCCATCTGGATGTCTTCTTTGGAAAAGTGTCTATTCATGTCTTCTGCCCATTTCTTAATTGGATTATTTGCTTTTTGGGTGTTAATTTGGTAAGTTTTTTTATAGATTTTGGACACTAACCCTTTATCAGATATGTCATTTGCAAATAACTTCTCTCATTCCATTAGTTGCCTTTTAGTTTTGTTGATTGTTTTCTTTGCTGTGCAGAGGTTTTTTATCTTGATGAAGTCCCAGTAGTTCATTTTTGCTTTGTTTCCCATGCCTGCAGAGATGTGCCTAATAAAAAGTTGCTGTTACCAAGGTCAGGGAGATTGATGCCTGCTTTTCCTCTAGGATTTTGATGATTTCCTGTTTTACATTTAGATCTTTCATCCATTTTTAATTTATTTTTGTTACAGTGACAGAAAGTGGTCCAGTTTCATTCTTCTACATGTCCCTGTCCAGTTTTCGCAACACCCCAACACCATTTGTTGAAGAGATTTTCTTTTTCTCTATTGGATATTTTTTTAAAATAGTTTTTTAAGATTTCTTTATTTGAGAGAGAGAGAGAGAGAGAGAGAGAGCGCCATTGCCATGCACACAGAAATGTTCACAGAGGGAGAGGGAGGAGAGAAGCAGAGTCTTCACTGAGCATGGAGCCCGAAGCAGGTCTTGATCCCATTACCCAGGAGGTCATGACCTGAGCTAAAACCAAGAGTCAGATGCTCAACTGACTAAGCCACCTAGGCATCCCTCCATTGAATATTCTTTCTTGCTTTGTTGAAGATTATTTGGCCACATAGTTGTGGGTCTTCCTTTTTTGTATTTTTTTATTCTTGTTTCTCTTTCTGCTTCAGCTTGAACATATTCTTTTAACTTATCTTCTTAAGCTATGTCCTATCTAGGTTGTTATGCTTGCTCATTGAGTTTTTACTTTTGGTTATGGAATTTTTCAGCTTTAGAGTTTCCATTGGTTTCTTTTTAGGGTTTCTAATTCTCTCACAAAATTCTCAACCTTGTTTTCTATTACCTTGTACACAATAATAAAGAAAATTTCTGTTAGAATTGCTGTCTAATAACTCTAATAGTGAGGCCCTTTTGTATCTGTTATCTTTTGCGTCTTGCGATTTTAATTCATGTTGCCTTTATCTTCCCCTGGATTTGAATTTTAAAAGTAAAAAAAAAAATTGGGTCACATTTATTTGTAAAATTGTTTTTTAAAGCAAGTTTCAGCCTCTTCTAATATCCATCTAGATTATTCTTGTTGGGAATAATAAGGGTAAACCTTTAAAGTCTGTATTCAAAATGAAGTGGGTGTTCACCAGGGCTTCTCTACTCCTTGCTGGTCTAATCTGTGTGTCTTTGAATTTGAAGACTGTCAGAAGGCATCCCATCTTCTAACCACCTCTCCGGAACTGGCAAATGCCTCTAGGGGTAGAGTGGTCCCAAATGCCAGTCTCATCTTTCTGCATCCACATCTTCTCCTGTTCCTATTTCAGTAAATATTTATTCTCTTGTTAGTTTTCCAGTGTCTTCAAGCAGATTATTAAAATATGTATCCAACTTTTCTTGTCCAAAGCAGGAGGCTTGATCTAAATTAAATTACCTTGTCTTCTCATACCAGAAGTGAAGACTATCTTCAGATTACGTGGTGTAAGAGATTGATAATACATTTCCTGCATTGTTTAAGGTAGTTGGGGCTTTTGTTGTTAGCTAAAAACATCTTTATTAGCATAAAAGATATAAGTTCTTTGTAAGCTTGAGTATAGAATTGTGGAACCACTTTTGAAGATCAGAGAAAAAATTATGTTTTATGATGCCTTTCTGTCCATGTTACTAGATATCTATTTGGAGGATACTATATTTTCCAAGATTATCTTTGATAAATTGATTACTACTGGACTGGAGAGAACCGAATATATGTGCAAAACACTTAAAAACAAATAAAATTCATTCTGACCTGGTAATACTTGTGCAAACGGGCATATGATTTTCTGTGATTCTGAAATATTCCTTGGATAAAAGTATGAAAATGTTTGCAGATGCAAACCAGGAGTTTATAACTTTAAGTGAGAAGATACCAGAGGGTAATACACATACATTTGCAGTGGAACTAGAATTGGAGATGATGTTGTGAAAATTGATAATGGGAAACCTCATTAAAATGGAGTTGTGAAGTTCAGCAAGGGGAGCTCTCACACCCTACCACTCGTAGTCGATTGTAGACCTAAGAGGAAGAGATGTACTTGATCTTGCTCTTGGATACTCTATTATCACAACTAGAAGAAGAGACACTTTTTTTAAAAGGTTAATAATGTAACGGTGGTGGTGATTGGGAAATGGATACCCTACAGTTAGTCCTGAAAAGTATTTGTAGTAGATTTTAGTGCTAAAAAGGGAAAGATTTAAATCCTTTTAACCCTGTTTTCCTATAATATTCCAGGTTGTACTGAATTTTTTTGCATGGGAACTTCCATTTTAAAGTAGGAGTTAGAATATTTACTGTCAACTGGAATAAAAATAAAAAATTCTTCATTTTATCTTGGAAATCTTTGTTTTGCTAGTAGTGGGACTGAGGGGTAGCTCTTTTTTTTAACATAATTTAAGCTTTTATTAAAATTAAAGCCTTATAATTTATAATGCCTTTTAGATGGTATTATTAGAAAGTATGAGATAAATTTATTGTTGTTTCTATCTCTTAAAAATTGTATCGAAAAGCATGCCAGTTTTATGATCCGATTAATTAACTCCTTGACAAGTGTATACTTTTGACAGGATAATGTTGTGGCAGCTGTTACAGACAGTGTACTGTTGCACATTTAACATGAGTAAGAAGTAAAGTTTTCTTGGAAAACTTTTTCCCTTCTATTAAAATGTGATTTGACAGAAAACCAAAGTAACTTCAATTTTAGTTGAAAAGTCTTAGGTGGTATGCAGACATTACATCAATTTATCAGAAATCGTATATTAAAAGAAAGACTGAGTAATTTGATGGTTTGTGTATCCTGAATATCTTGTAGTAGGAAAAGCTATTTCATGATGATCCATGACTAAGGAAGATGCAATTAGGAAAAAATACATATAATAGTCTTGACAAAGATTAATGAAACTAAAGGGGACAGAATTATTTTGATGAAAACTTTTATTTTTAATTATATACAATAAGAACACTCTGTCATCATTTTTACTTCTAAATATAACAAATACTTAGTTACTTTCATAATCCTGGATCAGTGCTTTTGGGGATAGTTGAGGTTATTTACTTTCCTGTTCTTAGCACAGTGCATGATACATAGGTGGTCAGCATTTTTGTGTTGACTGATTTCTCATCTGAGTCTGCAGGGTGAGTACAGTTCACCTTGTGTCAAATAAAAGACCCTTTGCAGCATTAATCACAGACATAGTTACTTGCTGAAGGTCATCTTTGTGAAGATTATAATTTTCTCCAATCATTTGTCAAATTCTAAATGGCTTTTCCCCTGATTTCAGAGTATGGATTTTGTACTAAGATCCTTCTAGGAAATTTACCCTAGTGGCTTCAGGAAATGTCCATAGTTTGTCAATCTGGGGAGTACTTAAACTGGAAAAGTCAGTAACTCTAGTTAGGTTAATACTTGAAGATATGACGTTGATGGTCTCAGAAACTTAGAGTGGAAGTAAAGAAAATGTGTTAAGATATGATTCAATTTTTTTTATAAACAATTTCAAAATCCGAAAATTTGGTTTTTAGAAATGAAATATGAGTAAAAAGAAGGGATAAAAAGAATGTAACACTGAAGGAGTCTAACTCATCACTAACTAAGTGTATTTCTCTGTGCAGGTATAATTTGGCATCCTGAGAGTCTGTCTTAGCAAGAAGGAAGTGGAAAATACCCTTGAAAAGAAAACTAAGACAAAATAGGAAGCCGGACTTACTTTTACATGGTTAACTGCACATTTACCAATATGGACACCTTTCCCCCCATTTTTCCTCCTGGTGGAGACAGTGAGCTGACAGGTTCTCAATCCGAGTTCCAAAAAATGTTAATTGATGAAAGGCTACGATGTGAACATCATAAATCTAACTATCAGACTCTTAAAGCTGAACACACAAGGTAAATTGCTTAAATTTGGATATGAGGGGCTTTATTAAGAAAGCTTTTTTTTGTTTGAATGTTTGCTCTGGAACATACAGTATAATTTTGTCTGCATACTTTTGAAACTGTCATTTCAAAATATCATAAAATGTCATTTAACATTTTTTTAATACGGTGAAAATTTTGCTTTAAAATTACTATATTTACAACTAAACATGATCTTAAATGTGCTATTTATTTAGAAGTCTTTCTTTGAAAGTAGCAAGACATAGAAAATTAAATGTATTTAGGTGGCTAAGTGTGTTCCCCCCCACCAAGTAAAATTGTATAAATAAACTATAGTGTTAATAATTAAATTCTAAAAGAAAAGATGTGAATTTAATGGATATACGAAATTGGTCTTGTTCTGTGGTGTTGGTTGGCTTTACATAAAGTAATGCAATTAGAAAGCAAAGAATACCCTTAAAATGGAATTCTTTTTTTAAAAATCAGATTGCAAGATGAGTACATAAAGTCACAAAATGAACTCAAGCGCCTGTTAAATGAAAAGCAAACTCACCAGGAAAAATTTCAGCTGCTGCTCCAAGAGCTAAGAGGGGAATTAGTAGAGAAAACTAAAGACTTAGAAGAAATGAAACTGCAGGTAAGAAAATGTATTTCACTTAGTGCTATTGGGAAAAAATTCCCTCTGCTCTTCAGGATTCTTCTAAGATGGACTAAGAATCAAATTGACATGAGATAGATTAACAAGAGAAAATCAAATTTAGTTTAGAAAGTATGCAGAATCCACACAATTGTGAAATTCCAAAGATAGGCAATAGGAGGCTTATATGATGTCCTGAGCTAAGGAGACAGACAAGGTCTGGGGGTATAAAGAGAAGAAGATCATTAGCAGGATGGTGAGAGGAGATGTTTGGGAAACAAAGGTTGCCCTGTTAAGCAGATAAATTTTTTAGGTAAAGAGGAACCTCTGTTAATCGCGCTCTTCTTGGTATAGGCTCTCCTTTCCAATTAAATTTAGGCAGTTGAGGGGCAGGTAAAGAGCTTTTCCTAAATCTGCTTGGTTTTGATTGCTTGTAAGTGAAAAGAATCTTTATGCCAAAGCAGCTCATCTTTGGGAGGCCTGCCTTTGCGCCATGATACACAAATAGTCAGATGTTGCTAAATTTGGTGAATTCTGCCTATATTTCGAATGAGTGTTTTGCTATATATCCAGTGGTATAATTTAATATTCTTTCAAATATTTTGGACTGTTAGCTACCATGTAGGGTTAAGCCATGAAACCGTTGTTTCATGTAAATTTGCATTAAATTACTATTCTGATTTAAATATTACACTCTTCAGAATAATTGGGGGAAAGGCTGGTTTGAATTGATAAATATTCAGAGTTTAAAAAATACTGTTTTAAAGGAAGTTTTACTAATTCTCCTTTAAGTATTATAACAAACTGAGCTAAAAAAGACTGATAGACTTTTCTTGAAGTTTTATTTTTTATGAAAAAAGTTATTACTGAAGTATAGTTGATAAGTCTGAGTTATTTTTGAGGGACTTCTTAAAAGACTATAAAAACAATATGTGCACATAATTTGTGCAGTGTAAGGTAAATGGAGTTTCTAAAGCAAAAAATAGTTGGTACTGTGAAGTACTAACTATGGTTTTCATTTATTTGCCTAAAAAGAAGACCAAAGCTAAACTTCCTGTAGCACCAAATTTAAAATTAGTAGATGCCAAGCAGTGATATTTTCCTGTATTCATTTAATCTCTAGGTGGCACCAGCTGTGTATTTCTTTTTATCTAGTGCTTGGTACAAATAATAAGGTATTTTTAATATTGGAGTCATAAGTTGGTAGACTAAAAAGCTACCTTTCAAGTTAGCAAGTATGGCATATCACCCAATTCATGGATTCCTTTGATAGCAGCATTAGAAGTTGGTTATTTAGTATCTTCTTGAAATCTTCCATTATTGGGAACGCCGCCACTAAGATTGAGTTGGAGCCTCTACTGAGTTGTTTTATTCCTAGGTGTAGTTAGGACAGTGAACAAACAAAAACCTCAGAAATAGGAGTTGAATAGGAAAATGTAATTTAAGACTATAGAATTGGTAAATTAATTTGTTTTGCAAATATTGAGAGGCCTATAGAAATGACAATCTGTGAGCACTGAATACAAGGAATTCAAAATATTCTGCTATTGGAGATATAAACACTCTAGTCTTCTTAAGCTTACTGTTTGCACGCCCTTGGTACAAAGAAGCATGTCTACATGTTACTCTGAAGAAATAGTAATTAATATCAGATAAAATTTACTTCAAGACAAAAAGAGTGTCACGTCATTTAACAAAAAAAGGTCAGTTAACCGGTGAGATGATGACCATCAGCAAACAGCTGTTTTTATGCCTTGGTTTTATTATGTGGTAAAGAGGATAAAAGTTGTTAACAGCAGTTTGTTGTGAGAACTAATGAAATAATGTGTATTTTTAGTACAGTGTCTGACACATAATAGATATTCATAAATGATGGCCATTTATTCTGTTTGAATGCAGGCTCTATAAGGGCAGGAGCTCTTTTCACTGTGTCTCCAGTGCTAAAGTGTATTTATGTTTGTATTTATATATTTTATAATAGCAAATATTCATTCAACAATGAATGACATGAATAAATAGAATAAATGAATGAACTGGAATTGTTGTTCTGTTCATATATAATAGTGTTCTTGTTTCATATGTACTTAAAACTTAAGCATCTTAGAGTTGACGATCCTCTCATTCTTTCATATCTGTGATGAGTTTCTTGTCTGCCAAAAATATATGTTGAACTTCTAATGCTCAGTACCTCAGAATGTGACCTTGTTTGAAAATAGTCTTTGCTGATGTAATTCATTAAGATGAGGTCATACTGAAAGATCATGGGCCCTTAATCTACTGTGACTGGTGTCCTTCTAAGAAGAGAACAGACACAGACAGAAACACAGGATAAGTGCCCTGTCATGGCAGAAGAGAGATTGAAGTGCTGCAGCTGCCCGGGAAGGACAAGGATCAGCAGCACTGCCAGCAACTAGGATGAGGCGAAGAAGCCTCCTGCCCTTCAGTTTTCAGAGGGAATGTGGCCTTGCTGACACCTTGATTTTGGACTTCAAGCCTCCATAACTATGAGACAATAAATTTTGTTGTTTTAAGGTAGCCAGTTTGTGGTATTTTGTTGTGGTAGCTCTAGGAAACTAATACACTGTCCAAAGCAGAATTCTTTTTTGGAACAATTGTGACACAGGGATCTTTATTTTCTGCTTCAGTGCTTTCAGTGGGAGAGAACCTAGTGAATGTTTAGGGTGATCCAGTTCCATTTATGGATTGGGGCATGTTAATTATTTTCCCTCTCTTGTTCAAATGAAATCATCCTTCCTGTTACCTCTCTCTTGGTTCTTGGACTGTTCTTAGATCTATACAAAATAACTTTGGACATTTTTCCATGTGATAACTTCTCAAATGTTTGCTGACAAATATAATTTGTCTGGTAAAGTTTCTCTTTTTCAAGATGAACGTGACTGGTTTCTTCAAGGTATTTATCTGGCAAAAATACACTAAAATGAAGATCTATGTATTTATATACACATGTTGAGTAATTTAGCCATTTGCTTTATGGATGTTTGCAATTTGTACAAATTGCGAGCTGAATAAAACAAATTCAACAAAGTAGAATCAACCAGAAATACTGTAATAAGTGTTTATGAAAGATGATTATTTTCAGAAAAGGCATGTAGTATCTTGTCTATCTGCAAAATCCCTTTTCTGAGCTAAGATTTAATATCCCTTTGGCTTTTTTATAGAAAAATGATATAAAAGATAGTCAATTAAAGAATATTTCTTTGTCACTTGTGTAGTTGTAGTGAGTGGAAATAATAATAGTGCCTAACTTATAGGATGATTGTAAAGATAAAATGAGACAATGCATAGAACATGTTAGTACAGTGCTTTGATATAGAAAGTAGATAGAATGTTAGCTGTTGTTATATTATTGTTATGTACTATGTTAGCAAAACCTTTTTTAAAATAGAAGTTATTTGATAATATTTTTATTCCAAATATTGAAACTTACTTTATTAAAAATTTATATGCTTTGTTTGTGTCAGGCAGTGGAAACTATATAACGCTGTATGTTTCCCATTTTATTTGGCAGCTAAATTTATTATTTAGTTTGTTATCTTTCTGAGAATCTCTGGCACAGCAATATCTACTTCTTAAAATATTCTTTGAAAAATAATCTATTTTATATTAACATGACATTGTTGGTATAATATAGTCTTAATATTGGTAATGAGACGTAGACTGGTGTATGATAAAGCATTCTTTTAAGTTTCTTTTGAGACAAGTGGTGGCAGTATTCCATTAGAAGTCTAAGACACAGCATACTTTTTTCCTAAAATGGCATGGTGAAAATCCTCTAATTCTATGCCTTTGTGTACATGTGCTTTGGCGGGGGTTTGGGAGGGAAGGGAAATTTTTCTTATGTATGTGTGCTTGTTTTTTATAAGATTCTTAGGAGGTAACAAAAAAAATCAGAGACGTTATAGATTACAAGACACTTGGGTAGTTACCAGCTTCAGTGTTCTTTTCTCCTTTGTGTAAATTTATATTTCCATTGGTACTATTTTCCTACTGGCTTAGGGACTTTAACATTTCTAACAGGGAGATCTAGGAGAGATTTTTTCAGCTTTTATATGTCTAAAAATAATTGATTTAAAAAAATAAAATAAAAAAATAAAAATAATTGATTTTAAAGATAGTTTTGCTGAGTACTAATTTCTAGGTTGACTGTTTTCCCCCTAATACTTTTAAAGATGTTGCTCTTCTGTCTTCTCACTTATGTTGTTTTACATAAGAAGTTTGCTGCCATCCTTATCTTTGTTCTTTATACACAGGGAGTCTTCTTTTCATGGCTGCCCTTAAGATTTTCTTTTTATTGCTGATGATGAGCGGTTTGGTTGACATGACTTTGTACTTAATATTTATGGTGCTTAGTGTGTATTCGATCTGTGGGTTTGCAGTTTTCACTACATTTAGAAAAGTTTTGGATATGACTTGCGAAAATATTTTTTCTGCCTCCTCTCTGATCTCCTGTGGGGATTCCGTTATTAGGCCACTTAAACTTCTCCCATAGCTGACTGGTATGCAGTTTATTTATTTTCAGTCTTTTTTGTCTCCTTGTTGCATTTTGGATAGATTCTGTTATCATGTCTTCAAGTTCACTGATGTTTTTTTCTTCAGTATCTAATCTTTCATTAATCCATAGCTGACTGGTATGCAGTCTATTTATTTTCAGTCTTTTTTGTCTCCTTGTTGCATTTTGGATAGATTCTGTTATCATGTCTTCAAGTTCACTGATGTTTTTTTCTTCAGTATCTAATTTTTCATTAATCCCGTATGGTGTATATTTTTCATCTCAGAAATTGTAGTTTTTACTTTTGAAATCTAATGTAGGTCTTTTTCATAAGTTGTTTATATCTACTTAACATGTTCAATCTTTTCTCTAGCTTTTGGAACAAACGGAATTCAGTTATAAGAACTAGTTTAATGTCTTTGCTAATGATAACATCTATTTCACTTCTGTGTTGGTTTTGGTTGATTGAATTTCTTTTCTTATTGTGGGTAGTATTTTCCTGCTTCTTTGCATGCCTGATAAATTTTTATTGGATGCTAGATATTGTAAATTTTGTTTCAAGTGCTAGATATTTTTGTATTCTGATAAATATTCTTGAGCTTTGTTCTGGGACAGTTATTTGGAAGCAGTTTCATCTTTCTGGGTCTTTTTAAGATTTGTTAAGTGAAAGCAGATTAGTGGTTAGTGCTCATTATTTGCTACTGCTGAGAACCTTCTGAGTACTCATTGAAATGAAGATTTTCAGTCTGGCTTTTGGGAAAAGGAACTGTTCATAGCTCTGTGTGAGCTCAGATTACTCATCCATCCGATTCTTTCAGGTTGTTCTTTTCCTGGCCTTATTTAAATATTTTCCTTACATGCATGTGCTGATTGAGGCACTCTTCTGAATGAGCCAACAGAGACCTTTTGCAGATCTTCATAATCTTGTTTCTGTGCCACCCTCTTTTCTGCTACCCTCTCTTATGATTCTGACCACACTGCTCTTCTGGATTTGTAGTTCCGTTTAAGTCATAGAGTCCATCAGACTGCCTGGATATCTCTTTCTGTGCATGGCCTGGAAGCATTCTCAAAGCTAACTAGCTTTGTTGTTTGTCTCTCCGAGATCTTTTTTGCTTTATTATGCCCAGTGTCTTGAAAACTGATTTTTGTTTATTCTTTTGTTTTAGGCAGGAAAATCTGATCTCTCTTATGCCATCTGTTGGAAGTAGAAGCACTTTTATTTCTAATTAACCTTTAATTACAGAAATCTGAAACAAGTAGATTTTGTAGAGTGGTGGTTGGGCTGCATCCTCAGATACCCAGCACCAGTAATTCCAATAATTACCATCTCTCAGCCAGTCTTGTTTTATCTTCTCACATTGCTGCTCTGTTCTTCAACCCCTCTGGATTATTTTGAAGCAAATCATATTATCTCAACTCTAGTATTTTAGTATATATCACCGTTAAATACCAAAGCAGTCTCTCCTTTAAAAGCATAGCCACAATACCATTATCATACCTAAAAGTACTTATTTTCTTATGTCTTTTAATATTGCATCTTTGTTAACATTTCCCTACTTTTCCCACAATTTTGCTTAAAGTTGGCTTGTTTGAAATGGGATCCAAGTAAGATTTATGTATTACTCTTTACCTTTTAACCACCCCCCCTCCTCAGTTTGGACTCTTGCTACTATCACCCAGACTCTTGACATCATAAACCAGATCATAACAAGAGCTTTCTTTCTGATTTCCCAACTACATTCATTGTCTATTTCTTCCACACTCAGCAGTTTTCTCCCACCAAAGGTTTTGATCCATCTTGCTTCTTCCTAAATATGGTGATGCCATTCTTAAGCTTGAATACTTTCAGTGAATAAACAAGGTACAGAAAAATGTCTATAGTATGCCTTTCTGTATGTAAAAACTAAAGGTGGTGTGGCGTATATGCTTATATATTTGTATATTGTTTCAAGAGGGACCCAAAAGATGGTTCCATGATTGGTTCCTAAGAGAGAGACTGGATGGCTGAAAGAAGACGACTTAGTTTTTCAATATTTTTTATTTGAGTTATTTATGTAATTCTATTTATTTCATTATAAGTAAAAAAAAATTACTGAATACTGAGCAAGTTATGAGTAGGGACTTGATATTTAGGAATCTTCTAATTGTAGCTCCCACCTCTTTCCATTTTGTTCCTGGCCAGGATGTAGCTATCCTAGGTGGCATTTAGAAATGTTTCAGCATGGCCTTGATTGTCATATATCTAGAAAGCATCAGTGCTCAAGGATCCAGAGTTCTAAATTATCTATAGTACTTCAGGCAGTTCAGTCCAAAATGCCTTTAGCTTACCTGTGAGGATCATTTTTCTCCCCAGGGAATTTAAAAATGTTATCCATTTTTAAGTTTCTTGTTTAGTTTTCCCATTCCTTTGATGTGCTATTTCTATACTTATTATCTTTTCTGATGGTCTTTAACTGTCTGGTAAGCCTATATTGGTTACTTTTATAGTTATTTGTGTATATGTTTTATTTTTCATATGAGAATTTGAACTTCTTATGGGGCAAGAAATGCTTCCTCTAAGTTTTTGTGATCTTTAGAAAGTTAGACTTTGTGTATGCTTCAGTTTCTGTGAAAAGGGGATGATAATATAGCTACACTGAGGGTCATTGCAGAGATTAAGTTAATGCATAGAAGGTATTTACAATATGTTATATAGATTATATAGTATGTTGCAGAATGCTTTGTATGTAGTTAGTATTCAGTGAAGTTTTTGAACTGGAGTATTGATAAGTAAATGAATGAATTAAACAAATTATTCTTCATTTTCAGAGGTTAATGTAAATACAAACTAGGTTTTCATTTGTTTTATAGCCAGTATTTGATAATTGAGTGATCCTATGTGCCAGGCAGTAGTGTGAGGTGTTGGGGACAAACCCTGGTGAATAAAGACTGTGTTTGCCTTTCAGGAGCTTTTGTAAGTACTTCATCACTTATTGAAATATGAGTTCTATAAGAGAGCATAACAGGGAGGAGCCTTGGGTAGAGTAAAAGCCTTTTCTGATTGAAAATAAGTCTGAAGAATTCTCTGTGGGGTACTCAATTTTTACACCTTTATTTTGATTACTTTAGAAAATATACTATTAGCCATTATCTCAAACATGGTAACCTTAGCTGTCAACACAGTTATTCCTAACAGTCAACAATAATAATAATCAGTGCTTATCTTTACTTCCTGTTAATGGATTTTTTTGACATCTCTGAGAGCCTGAAATTGAGATCTTCAAGTATTGTTTCAAATGATGATTCTGTTTGTATAATGATGACTGTAAAATTAGGGATATTGTGAAATTTTTATGAATTGAATTTTGTTATAATTGGGTGTTGAAATTTGGTGATTTCTTGATTTTAATATTTATGATTTTATATTTAGAACTATTTGTTTCTCTACATAATAGGTATTAACGCCACAAAAGTTGGAATTGTTACGAGCCCAAATACAACAAGAGTTAGAAACTCCAATGAGAGAACGCTTTAGGAATCTGGATGAAGTAAGTGATTTATATAGAAGGAACTGTGCATTTATCTTTATATGGCCGATGAAAAGCATCATTCCCCTACTCAGAAACCCTACAGTAGCTCCACTTTTAACTCAAGCATCCTTACAGTGGCTTTTAGGGTTGCACAAAATTAGATCCCATTCTCTGTCTGACTTCCATCCATTCTGGCCTCTTTGATGTTTCTTTGGCATTCTAGAAATGAAACAAATGAAGAATCTTTGCTATAGCTGTTACTTGTGACATGAATAGTCTCCTTCCAAGTTTCTCTTAGCCAACTTCCTCATTTCTCTCTCTTTTTTAGAGATTTAAAAAATTCATTTATTTGAGAGAATGAACATGAGCACAGGGTGTGTGGCAGAGGGGGAGGGAAAAGGAGAAGGAGAAGCAAGGAGACTCCTTGCTGAGCAGCCTGCTCCATGCATGGGGCTCGATCCTGGGATCATGACCTGAGCTTAACCAACTGAGGCACTCCTTCCTCATCTCTTTAAAGTCTTTGCTAAAATGTCACCTTCTCATTGAGGCCTACTTTGACCAACCTGCATCTTCGTTTAATATTGCTTCCTGCCTTTTCCATCACTTGTTAGACCTTTGGATTCCCATTTTCCCTGCTCTACTTTTTATTTTTCTCTAGTACTTATCCTCTAATATGCTTTATGTTTATTGTGCTTATTTTTTATTTTCTTTATTACCATCTCTAGAATCTAAGTTGCATAAGAGGAGGAGCCTTTATCTGTTTGGTTCACTGTATATCCCAAGTTCCTAGCATACAATAGATGCTCAATTTATATTTGTGGAATGAAACCGTGTATTTCATGCAACCTCAGAAAAATAAAAATTTGTTACAGTTTTCTGTTTAGACTGAAAGATTTCCTTCCTCTAATGAAATGTTGGTATGATTAAATGTTTAATAAATGGGATAGGAAAAGACGACATATATTAAAGTATATTAAGTATTATGCCAGACAATTTTTATATGTAACCTTATTTAACAAATAGACTAAGCCTTCTACATGGCACATGAATATTGTCCCCTTCAAAATGGACTCCCTTTGGAAAGTTGTAGTCTAGTGATGCTTCCATTGCACAGTACAGTTGGAGAATCCACTTTTATAAATGGCTTAATTGGCTTGATAAAGTCGTCTTTTGAATATCCTCCTGGTGAATAAACAAAGCATATGGTTGGGAGTAGACTTAATTTTTGGATTTAAACAAAGCCATTTAGACCTAAGGTAGGTGATCAAGTTAGGTAAAAGTTTGGTGTGTTTTTTTGTTTGTTTGTTTGTTTGTTTTTTGAGTAAGTTTCTAATAAAATTGTGAAACCCATTTTCTCGATTTGTAAACCGGCTTAGAGGAACCTTTCATTCAAAGATTTACAGTGAGGAGACTCTTATAGAAGGTGTTATTACTTAATTTCCTGATGAATGTTGAAATAGTGTCTGTCTCCTTCATCTTCTCTATTGCCCAAGTTCTTATTGAATTTAGAATGTCAGCAACTTTTGTAGTGTTGGAGTAGAGTTGGAGCATGCCAGAGATTTGCATGTGTTCCTGGTTAGTTAGGAAAGTTGGTGCTGCCTGTACCTTTCAGAGTGGTATGTTGAACTATCATTGTAATACTTGATTGAACCTTGAGTTATTGTACTAAATATTCAAATAATCTCTCTACTTAGAATTCATCTTGGCTTTTAGAGTGCTTTTTATATTTCACTCTAGAGTTAATTTTTAAAATTTAATTAATTTTGAAAGGTATACTACATTAGTATTATTTGGCCCATAGGTCAGAACTTTTGATGTCCTATTCATTTTTCTTATTATGAGAATCAGTGAGGAAATAAGGTAAATTGAATGGTAATTTGCTTTATTGGCACCTTCTCAAGAATGTACTAATTCTGTATGTAGAATACTTGTCATAAGAATTTTTCCAGGGTTTGTTTATACTTCTTTTAAGCTTATTTTTTGCTTTTTAGAATGGCTTTCAATATGATGCAATTTAAAATTATATTTGCAAAAGTGATTTTTGGAGTGAGTACAAATTTCATAAATTTGTCATAAATTGCAATTTCCTTTTAATTTAGGAAGTGGAAAAGTATAGATCTGAATATAATAAGCTTCGCTATGAACATACATTTCTCAAGTCAGAATTTGAACACCAGAAAGAAGAACATGCACGTATCTTAGAAGAAGAAAAAATAAAATATGAATCAGAGGTGAGTGATTGATTATACTAGTTTAGTCATTATCCTTCTAGTCAGTAAAATTTTGTGATTTTTTGGAAATTCCAAGTTAGAATTGATTGTATAATTCAGTTTCATTAATTAAAGGTGAAATATTTGGCATGTTATTTATCTGTTCTGTAGTAATTATTTTTGGTGAACATTATTTTTTGGCTGTTAGATTTTCCTCCTTTATTTTGCCCCTGTCAGTGGAGATAGTCTCTTTTCTTCTATAGCCAAAGAGACAGCCTTCTTTTTGCAAATATAGTTTGTTTATATTATTTTTTATGTAGCACTGTCCCCCTTTACTTTTTGGAACCAAACCATGTCCAGGAGAGCTATGGCTACCAGTGCATGTACCTTGTTTCTACTGATAGGAATAAGGGGTTTATACTTTAGGGTGTGCTCATCACATTCAAGAAGTGCACTTTGTTCTTTTTGACATCCTTAACTGCAGAATTTTCTCTCTGATGCCTACAGCATGTTCTTTACATGTCTCTGCCTACGGTATTGCTTGGCCAGCCTTTCTACTCATTTTATATTTTGTCTCCCGATTTTCCAAAAATGAAATTTGTGTTTATCATTCTTTATGTACTTTTATATGATTTTTCAAGGTAGAAATATCAATTTTGTCCTGCTATATTCAAATAAGAAATCTAATGCTAGTTGAATTTGTAAAAAAACAAAACAAAACAAAAAACCTTGGTATCTGTAGTTATATGAAATATTTTATGTATAAACACATCTGAATTACATATTTATTACATCATACAACATTTATTTGGAATTAAGAATTAGAATATAGGACAGCCCAGGTGGCTCAGCGGTTTAGTGCCGCCTTCAGCCCAGGGTGTGATCCTGGAGACCCAGGATCGAGTTCTGCGTCAGGCTCCCTGCATGGAGCCTGCTTCCCCCTCTGCCTGTGTCTCTGCCCCCCGCCCTCTCTCTCTATCATGAATAAATAAATAAAATCTTTAAAAAAAAAAAAAGAATTAGAATATATTTACCTTCCTTTGCCAATTACTAATTGTGTCAAACTGCTCTACTTTTTAAAATTATTTTTTTAATTTAAATTCAAGTAGCCAACATATAGAACATACTAGTTTCAGACGTAGAGTTTAGTAGTTTATCAGTTGCACATAACACTCAGTACTCATCACATCACGTGCCGTCCTTCACGCGCATCACCCAGTTGTCCCAAGCCCCCACCCGTCTCTCCTCTAGCAACTATCAGTTTCTTTCCCATAGTTAAGAGTCTCTGTCATGGTTTGGTCTCCCTCTCTGATTTCTTCCCATTCTGTTTTCCCCTCCCTTCTCCTATAATCCTCTGTGCTGTTTCTTATATTCCTAATATGAGTGAAACCGTATGATAATTGTCTTTCTCTGATTGACTTATTTCACTCAGCCTAATACCCTCCAGTTCCATCCATGTCGATATTAATGATGAGATTTCATCTTTTCTGATGGCTGAGTAATATTACATTGTGTGTGTGTGTATGTGTATATATATATATGCACACATCTTTATCAATATTCCATTGTATGTTTGTGTATGAATATATAGTATGTGTGTGTATATACACACTACCTTTTCATCAATTCATCTGTTGGTGGACATCTCAACTCTTCCATATTTTGGCTATTGTAGACATTGTAGCTATAAACATTGGGGTGCTGGTGCCCTTCAGATCACTACATTTGTATCTTTGGGATAAATACCTAGTAGTGCATTTGCTGGGTCATAGGGTACCTCTTCGTTTAGCTTCTTGAGGAACCTCTATACTGTTTTCCAAAGTGGATGTGCCCGCTTGCATTTCCACCAACAGTTTAGAGGGTTCCCTTTTCTCCACATCCTCGCCAACATTTGCTGTTTTCTGTGTTGTTAATTTTAGCTATTCTGACTGGTGTGAGGTGGTATCTTCTTATGGTTTTCTCTTTTCTTTTTAATAAGGCTGGCTAGGGGTTTATCTATCTTATTAATTCTTTCAAAGAGCCGTCTCCTGGTTTTGTTGATCTGTTGTGCTTAGAAGATCTGTCATTTGCTGAGAGTGCCATGTGGAAGTCTCCTACTATTAGTGTATTATCTAAGTATCTCTTTACTTTGATTATTAATTGATTGATACACTTGGCAGCTCCCACATTAGGGGCATAAATACTCATAATTGTTACGTCTTCTTGTTGGATAGACCCTTTAAGTGTCTATCCAAAAATTCTAATTTATCTGATATGAGGATTGCTACCCCAGCTTTCTTTTGAGGACCATTTGAATGGTAAATGGTTCTCCACCCCTTCATTTTCAGGCTGGAGGTATCCTTAGGTCTAAAATGAGTCTCTTGTAGACAACATATATATATATGGGTCTTGCTTTTTTTAAAAATTATTTTATTTTATTTTTTTGGGGGGGGTCTTGCTTTTTAATCCAGTTTGATACCCTTTGTCTTTTGATGGGATCATTTAGCCCATTCACATTCAGAGTCCCTATTGAAAGATATGAATTTAGTGTCCTTGTATTACCTATACAGTCCCTGTTTTTGTGGATTGTTTCTTTGGGCTCTCTCTTTCTTTTACAGGGTCCCCCTTAATAATTCTTGCAGAGCTGGATTGGTGGTCACATATTCTTTCAGTTTCTGTGTATCCTGGAAGCTCTTTATCTCTCCTTCTATTCTGAATGACAGCCTTGCTGGATAAAGTATTCTTGTCTGTTTGTTTTTCTCATTTAGTACCCTGTATGTATCATGCCAGCCCCTTCTGGCCTGCCAGGTCTTTGTGGAGACTCATTGTGGCTTTAATCTGTATTTCCCCAATGCCGAGTAATGTGGAACATTTTTTTCATGTGTCGGCCATTTGTCTATCTTCTTTGGAGAAATATCTGTTCATGTCTTCTGCCCATTTCTTGCCCAGATTTGTTTTTTGGGTGTTTAGTTTTGTAAGTTCTTTATAAACCTTGGATACTAGCCCTTTATCTGATTATGTCATTTGCAAACATCTCCCATTCTGTAGGTTGCCTTTTAGTTTTGTTGACGGTTTCCTTTGCTGTGCAAAAGCATTTTATCTTGATGAAGTCCCAATAGCTCATTTTTGCTTTTGTTTCCCTCACCTTTGGAGATGTGTCTAGCAAGAAGTTGCTGTGGCCAAGGTTGAAGAGGTTGCTGCCTTTGTTCTCCTCTAGGATTTTTTTTTTTCCAGATTTTATTTATTTACTCATGAGCTACACACACACAGGCAGAGACCTAGGCAGAGGGAGAAGCAGGCTCCCTGCAGGGAGCTTGATGTGGGACCCAATCCCAGGACCCCGGGATCATGACCTGAGCCAAAGGCAGATCAACCACTGAGCCACCCACGTGCCCTGTCCTCTAGGATTTTGATGAATTCCTGTCTCATACTTAGGTCTGTCATCCGTTTCGAGTCTATCTTTGTGTATTGTTTGAGGAAATGGTCCAGTTTCATTCTTTTGCATATGGCTGTCCAGTTTTCCCAACACCATTTGTTGAAGAGACTGTCTTTTTCCATTAGATATTCTTTCCTGCTTTGTTAAAGATTAATTGACCATAGAGTTGAGGATCCATTTCTTGCTTCTCTCTTCTGTTGCATTGCCAGTACCATACTATCTTGATGATCACAGCTTTGTAATATAACTTGAAGTCTGGCATTGTGATGCCACCAGCTTTGGTTTGCTTTTTCAACATTTCTCTGGCTGTTCAGGGTCTTTTCTGGTTTCATACAAATTTTAGGGTTATTTGTTCCAGCTGTGTGAAAAATGTCAATGGTATTTTGATAGGGATTGCCCTGAATGTGTAGATTGCTCTCGGTAGTATAGACATTTTAACAATATTTATTTTTAATCAGTAAGCAAACTTTCATAATTGATATGTAAGAAGCTATATGAACATTGGAACATTTACATCTTTTGGTAATACAGTAGTAGAAAACTGTATTTATAATGTCCTTTTTTATTAAAAACTTCTTTATGGCTTTACATGCTTTATTTAGCTATGATCTTTTATTATAATAGTCACTGTGATGGAACAAGATGGTATTTTATCCATTTAAAATGAGGACACTTGAAGCAAAAGATAAGCAACTTGCCCAAAGTCTCACAAAAAGTCAACAGCCAAGTTTATGGTAGATCTCTTGTGCCACAGCTACCAGCCCAAAGTTTTTATTTTTATATTTTTTTCAGCTCAAAGTTTTTAGTTTGGTGTGGTAATTTCACGTTATTGGTAATTTCAATTAACAGCCATCTAATTTTATCAAGAGATCTGTCAATATGTACTACTTATGATGATGAAAGGTTTTGAATCTATAATCATGACAGACTTAAAGGAATTACATTTAAAAATTTTCTAGTAGAAAATAGGAATGATAAAGATTTCCAGCTAAAATATAGGTTTAGTGTATTAAAGAGTAACCACTGAGGTTAAGGATTCTGGTACTTTATTTTATATTTTGCATTTAAAATCTAATGTTGATATTTATCTGGTAATGACTATTTGTATTCTCTAGTTTCTTAGTTTTATTGTTTTCCTATATTTTTCACCCATGAAAGACCAAATAATATTCATTAAAATTTTCAAGGGGTCATTGGTGTCATTAATTCTCCTAATTTAAATGTCTTATGAAGAAATCTGATAAATAGCTAGCTGGGAAGGCATAATTAGTAGAGGCTAGAGAAGTAAAACTTTCTGGTAAGATTGAAGTTCTTTTCTTTCTACTTCCCAGTTATGCAGGAACAGTATTAATTAGTGGATCATTGGGTATTTGTGCTTTCATTCCATCACTTACCTTTATACACTAATTTCTATACACAAGAAAGGTAAAACCTGGTGATATGATTGTGGATCATGATACAGCTGTGAAACTTCAAGGAAAAGCCTACTCTTGCCATCTTCCAATTTAAACTGGTATAAAATATATGAATTTGTACTAAAAATAATTGGCTTTATTTGCATTAATTAAGGATTCACACAATACTTGTGCATTTTCACTTCTACAGA